CTGCATCTTGAATGCAGTTTGTGCAATCTGTGCTGTTCACGTCTCCTCTGCATTGTCCCAAGCCGTAGACTTTGTCTGTACCTTTGCCATAAGTGGCAATGCTGAAACGATTCTGAGAAGTGCTTGAGGCTAGTTCAGCCACCAAGCTATCGATGTTTGCGGACATTTGGGCTGTGGGTATTGTTGAATTGTCACTGCAGTTCTCAACACTAACGTCTGCAAGGACTGCAAAAATGCAGCTGCTGAGGAATAGCAAGAAAATAAAGCGAAACAAAGCCATATTTCTGATTTCAGTTGTTGCAATTTTCACTTGCATTTGCTTTCTCAATGCTGCTATATTTTTTATAGGAGAAAATATTTGCGCGTCTCTATTGCCAGCTAATTGTCTATTCCTAGAAAAAAACGGCAAGAACAGCCGGAGCATGATACCGGCTGCAGATTTTCTTGACTTGCTGCTGGTCAAAGTAAACCATTCAATCTTCTGGAAATCCTATCCAGAAAATAATAATACTAACAATAAATGAACAACTATTGCAAAATTCAACGAAAGAGAGAGGCCCACAGAATATGGATTAGTGGCAAAATTTTGTTGTTTTCTTTTATATATATATATATATATTTTAAATCCAACATTTGTAAAGCAGCACTAGCCAGTATTTCTCAAAGGGCCACACGAGTTCTTGTGATGAATAATAAATTCTACTAGTAGATAGACATGGCGACGGTTCCTGAACCGACGGTTCCAGAACCGTCGGTTCTGGTTCTGGTTCTTCAAAGAAGTAGAACCAGAACCGTAGAACCAGAACCGCACCATATAAGATGGTTTTGGTTCTGGTTCCAGAACCGCATAGTTCTGATTTCGCTTTCTTATGGTTCTGATTCCGGTTCCGTATGGTACCCTACAATTTTATTTAATTTTTTATTCTTACCAATTTTAATACGAATATAACAATATATTTAAAATTTCAAATAGAATGTACAAAAATAAATACAAAATAAAGATCATATTTTAATTTTATTATTATTCTACAAAGTAAGAAGTAATAAATAGACAATACAAATTTTATGAAAAGTACATTACATTGTCAAATTAAAAAATACATTACACTATCAAATGGTTGTCATGTGTTGACTTTCTTGAGTTGGACAATCATCAATGTTGAAGATTTCATTTGAAGAAATATTGCAAAAAATATTTGTTTGCTTGCTTGATTTTGAAGATGAGCTACTACCATCAAAACTTGCCATTTTTTGATAGCAAATAAGCAAAAAAAAAAAATTTGTAAGTAATAATTTAATACTTACAAATTATAATGATAGATATTAGACGAATAAAAATAATTAAATAATTAGTAAAATATATAGAAAGTCCATAAAATTTAAACTTTCTTAAAACCTATTAAACACAACTAATTTTTTTGAATTATCTCACTACTTATATTAATTATTTTTAACGGTTCTGGAACCGGCGGTTCTGGTTCTGGTTCTATTTTTTAGAGAACCAGAACCGAAACCTTTATCCAAGGTTCTGCCACGGTTCTAGTTCCATGGTTCTAGTTCCGGTTCTGATCCGGTTCCAAACGGTCTGGTTCCGGTCCGATTCCCGATTCCAAATGGAACGATGGCTATGCCTACTAGTAGAGTAGGGAAAAACATTGCATTAAAAGTAATCATGAAATTTAGAGTGCAATAGTTACTAGCCCAAAAATTGCTGTTGTCCATGTAAAATCCAACTGTATACCTTATCCTCAGATGAATTTTGACTTAATCCAAGTCATAAATACTGAATAAGGAAAGAGTTATTTCTTGTTGGATGTAACTGGGAATATGGGATTTGGACGGGTTGCAGCTGGGGATGAAGCATTTGAGACCGAAAGACAATAAACTGGTCAATAACACCGCTTGATTATTGGAACGCTTGTGGGATTACAAGACTAAGTTACCGCGTATGCATTTGTTCAAATACTAATAATATACTGCACTAGCGTAAGTATTCTGGTAATTGCCTACTAAATATAATTAAACATTAATATCATCGTTGATCTTCTTTCTTCCAAATCCAGAGAAGACCCAGTCGGAGGAGCTCTCCATTATTCTCCTCGCGTGTAGGTGTATTTTCGGGAGGAAGAAGCGCACGAAACCCAATCAATTTAGGTGGGATTGAATCCGGAATTAGAAAGCAACTCTTATAAATTAGTATAACCGTGTGACTTAGCAGGTGCTCAATACCACTCTGCCGGACAGGTTTCAAATGTAAATTTTTTTTTGGAAAAATAGAATTAATTTAAGGGAAAGTGCCATAATGTAAGAGGTGCAATAAATATGAATGTATGTTTTTAGATGTTTTAACAAGTGCAGTTTCAAATTATAATTAGCGGGAACGGGAAAAACTAGATGATTTTCTATTGGGAAGGATCCTTCTTTCTTGTGTCAAATTTTTGTAATCCGAAAGGCTTTAAGTCGAACATCCTTCAAATGTCTCAGTACAGATTACTCAAAAATTGATCTTTTTCTTTACTTCAGACGACTTTTAATCTCTTTTTGTTTTCTTAAAACATCCTTTTCTGTTAAGGTTCTTTTAGATCTCTTTGTTTTCTTAGGTTTTGTTGTATCCTACCTAAATCCAGATCAATACGTCATTAAGCATTTTGCCATAAACATATCGATTTAATCCCGTTAGAATATAAGTTTATCAGCTTTTGCTTTTGATGAAATTAAAAGGAATTAGATGGCATTTGATTTTATTCGAGTATCCGTATTTATACCATGTAATTACATCTATGCTTTTCTCTCCAACCCTTTTTAATTTTCCTTTTTTTGGGTTCTAGGGAACAGTAGCACGGAGTAATTCTTTTTTAAGCCTTAGAGCGTCTAACACAAAATGTTTAGTCGGAGTGCAGGACTCAGGGCATAACAACAGTACATATTGGCAAACCAGCACTGACAATTTGCTTCTCGGGATTCATCAGTTATCCTGCCAATGACATGGTAGATTATTGAGTGTGTACATATGTATATAAATGGAATGCGAGAACGATGCCATACGAGGATTTGTCGACAATGACACGGAACAGAAACTGAGTATTACTGAGCATAAAATTCAGTGAAGAACTGAATCTGTATAATAAGCATATGTTATGCGTTTAAGGCTTAATAACTGTGGACGAGTGGTAGTACTTCATGGGCATATTGACTAAGGTCTCTTTTGGGTCGAGAGGGAAGAAAAACGGATATAACTCATAACGGACGATGCAGCTGCTGTAGAGAACTCGGCATCCTTTCTTGTTATTGCAGAAGGTGGGGAATTCCCCGATTGCTATGGCCAAGCACTGTTCGCAAGAAAGCTGCGAGAGGTCCCTTGTGCATTGAACCAATTCATATAGAGTCAAAAAAGGTGACAACTCTTTCTTTCCTCTCCCTAGCCCGTTGTTTCCAGGGGCAACAGCCTCTGAACTGATCTTATCCGACAATTTTCCGAGTTCTTTGTTGAAAGAGTCAGGATCGGTTACATTCTCAACATTGTAGAAGAATATCCCGATTGATGTATCAACGCGCCCGAAGAATTTCTCGGTTTCATATCTTAGAAAACAGTAATCATACCAAATTCGAGCATCAGCTTGAGTCGGGCAAAGTTTGCGAATTTGTTTCGATGCATCTTTGATGCAGCTCGAGCAATCTTCGTTGCTCACATCTCCTCTGCATTGTCCCAGGCCAAAGACTTGGTCTTTGGCTTTGCCGTAGGAGCTGGTGGTGAAACCATTCAGGACAGTTCCTGATACCAATTCAGCCAACAAGCTATCGATGTTTGCTGACAACTGGGTGCTGTTTATTGGAGAATTGTCATTGCAAAACTGACTCCAAAGCTCTGCGGATTCAGCTGTGCAGATGCAAAGTGCTGTTAATAAGAGAAGAAGCTTATGAAAGGAAGCCATGGTGAGTTGATGATATGTAACTGAATGTCAAGCTGGGTGTCCACTCTCCAGCAGGTCTCCCCCTTAATTTATATCGGGTAAATCAAATATCTTGGTGGCCAGCTCTTGGATTGAATTGGTGGAGGATGATGAAGCTGGCAGACATTTTTGACTTGGAGAGCAAATTAGAGCCACCATTCGTGTCCCGGTAAAAGTTGACGAGTTATATTCTTCTAGAAATGTTACCCAGAGAGAGAGAGAGAGCGCGCGCGCGCGGGCGCGCCTCTTCTGCCTGAAGGGTGGCTTTCTGCAGTAATTGGTGCAAATCTTCAAAGTTTTTGGAAACAAAAACCTTTCCAAACAGTAGTATTTTATTCGTTATTGGCAAATCAAGAAACGAATAAAATTTGGCAACTTGAAACCCCAAAATTTTACGTTTTAAGGGTGGTTAAATACGATCTCAAGTTTTTGATCTTCAACAATCATATATTTAGTCGCCGAACATTATTGCGAAAATTAGCAAGCTACCCATCTTCAGAACCCTACCTTGCCAAGACATTTTAGACACTGAGACTGAATCCAATTATTAGCGTTTGCTGTCACTGGTCGCTGACCAGTTGTATTAAGATATGTTTGGATCCAGAAACATCTGGAGCTGGATATACTTTTCTCCAGAGGGCAAATTGAGAAAAGTTCCCTCGTAAGAGCTAGGCACGTAATTAAGCAAGAGAATTTCTTACAACATTAAAAGAAGAGTCTTGCTTCAGCTTGGGGCAAATCCATTGAAATATGCGCATGATGTGGCAGACCAAAATGTCCCCACCAAACACCTTGAATCTGATCGGTGGAAGATTATATCTCACACACACACGCACACTGCAACAGGAGTCGAATTCAACAATTGAAATCGTCTAAGGAAGCCAAGTGGGTGGGGACAGGGGTTGGAGTCCGCATTAGTGGCTATTCAATTTCAATGTTGAAAGATAAGCTCCTCAAAGTTGCACAAGGACCAATGGATATGGAGGAGCTGATAGTTATAACTTTTAAGCATACAATTATTGGTAGTTTGCATTGGCAAGTTTGCCCTGAATTCTAGAGAAGCAAAGATGAAAATCGGCATTTTGTGGCCATCAGCTCTTCAAGGTTTATTTTTGTTTTGTGGGCTCTTCCATCTTTTCTACTGCTGAAACTGACTTGTACTGAGGGAATATTCATCCATTCTTTCTTTGTATGCAACTGAGGATAATTTGGACAAATGCTTAGCTTCAGTTTACTGTTTTCATCTTCACTGCCCATTTGTATCAGATTCTATCAATTTCCGGTGATCAATCATTGGTCAGGATCATAAAATATTGAGTTGAACGTAATATCTTCTTGTCAGGATAAAGATTAGAAGCTGGCTGCCTGCTCCCACTCCATCTCCACTCTCCACCCGGACCAGTAGGTGTTGGATCTTGCAGTATTGTCTCACAGTATAAAATTGCAAACGAACATTCTAATCTGTCGCCTGCATCCTATCCTCAGGATAACCCCATCATGTAGCTATTTCTCGCGTCTTAAAACATGCATGTTTTAGGAGAGCAAGAACCCCAGACCCCATCTTTATTCATTTATTCACCGTCTGTATGAGAGGCAACAGCAATCTAATTCCGTTCAGCAAACTCTCGTGACTGACTTTATTAACATCGTACAAAGTCAGATCCAGGAAACATAAAAAGAAAAATTTTATTAAGGGTAGGGTGTTATTAGCCTTTTTATATCTTTTAAGATGAATTCGTAGGCGATAATCGAGAAGAATTTTAGATTTACATATTGAGATTTTAGATTGCAACCAAAGAGGAATTAAAAACTTTTTCCTTTTTTCACAAAAAAGAAATGTCTTTATCCGTCAATTACGCAGTTTATCCCTGCTAACTTCACTCCGCTGCAAAAAAAAAAGGCTCACTGTAAAGTTAAAGAACTTGAAAACTCCCAACCTTTATTTCCTCCCATTCCCATTCTCCCAGCTTGTCAACCCTCGCTTCTTCTCTCTCTCACAAGCCGGACGTCTCCTCCTTTTGCTCTCCTCAAACAAGAAGAAAAAAAACCCTCCACCGCCCCCGAGTTCCCGACCAACGAAAGCAAGAAGATGGCCGAAGAAGAATTTGAGGAGTATCTCTTCAAGATTGTAGTGATTGGGGACTCAGCAGTGGGCAAATCCAACTTGCTCTCCCGCTTTGCAAGAGATGAATTTGACCATAATTCCAAGGCCACCATTGGGGTGGAGTTTCAGACCCAGGTGGTTGAAGTTGATGGCAAGGAAATTAAGGCCCAAGTTTGGGACACTGCTGGCCAAGAACGTTTCAGGGCTGTCACTTCTGCTTACTATAGAGGCGCTGTTGGGGCCCTCATTGTCTATGATATCAGCAGGAAAACAACTTTCGAGAGTATCAAACGATGGCTGGATGAGCTCAATAGTAAGCGTTTTGATTTTATGTTTTGATTTTTTTATGGGATTTGTGAGATTGTAGCTATTTTTTTCCCGGTGATTCTGGAAATGGCTAAAGGTTCAATCTTTGTTGAGTCTTCGTTTACATCTGAGCATTGTAGTGTTTTTGTTAACTCATATTCTGCATTTAGGAGTTGGGAAGTGGCTAAAGGTTTGATCTTTTTGTGGGGGTCTGGATCCAATCTGAGGCTACTAGTCTTAATATTCTTCTTTTCAACCTTTTATGCTATTTTTATCTTTTATCGGTTGCTTTTCATTTTTGGATAGTTGGTTAATCAATTCAAGATATAGTATTAGTTTTCTGAGATAAAATTGTAGAATTAAATCTGTTATCGTCTTCTGAATTAGAGATTTATGTTCAACTTTTTTGCTGCTAATTCTGATATTGGAGTAGATTTAGCAAAACTGCCAAGTGATTCTAGTCAACCCAAAATGCTATGCTACTTATATTAATTTTGGATGATGAGCAAAGCTGTGAACAGTGCCAGGTCCCCTGAATTTGATGCTTCTTGCAAGTAGAAGAAGTTTATCATGTTTCTGTGCCGTTGAAAACAGATGGTAAACATATCTGCTTGCCTCGTCTTTTGTTTTGTGTTTAAGAATAAATCACTAATGCAAGAACCAAGGACCTTCTCTCCAAGAAGATAACTAGTCCTATAACTTGACCTCCCATAAATAAATACATTTCAGAGGTACATTTGGAGATGGTATTTTCTTAGCAAAGTGTTGCAATAAGCATGACAAGCATGCTGCAGCAGGATTTTGATGATAAACAATTGAGTTGATATATTAAGGCATGCTGATCGTGTCTCAGGTTAACCATGAGAAAGCTTTTTGTGTACTATCTTCAATCACCTCATGGACCCTGAAAGAGGAAAACCAAATGATGAAGAATGAAACCCCTGAAAAAGTTGCACAAATTGCATTTAGAGCATCAAAGTTAAAATTCAGCATTTTTTTTAGTCTGTGAGACTCAGATGGCTATTTTTCTTTCTTTTCATTTTTATTTTGTATTTTTTAGGTATATGGTTATTTTTCTGCTTCATTTAAAGTTCTTGTTTTGCTTGTAGATTGTTTGGATGCCTTTACTTTTTTGTCAACAATCAGCTGCTATTATCCCCTTTAATTGTAAGACAAAATTACTTTCCCATCTAATATTGATCATGCATCCCTCCACAGGTTGAGAGTCATTAATCCATTCTTGATGCCAAAAAAAATGTCTGTTGATAATATACATGTGGTTGAGCAGCTCTTCTGCTTCTTTTTTAATTCTGACGTGTAGGCTTCTGAATGAAGATTCAGTATGAATATATTCTCCCCCCCCCCCCCAACCCAACCCCTAAACACACAACCAAAAAAAAAGAGAGATGAAGAAGAAGAAGAAGAGAGATTCATATGAAGACTGGTCTCTAATGGTTAATGAGTTTTGACTTCTGATGGGACGATCTTGCAGCTCATTGTGATACCACTGTAGCGAGAATGCTGGTTGGGAACAAGTGTGACTTGGAGGACATTAGAGATGTCAGCGTGGAGGAGGGAAAGAGCCTTGCAGAAGAGGACGGATTATTCTTCATTGAGACATCTGCACTAAACTCGACTAATGTAAACGCTGCTTTCGAGATAGTCATCCGAGAGATATACAACAATGTTAGCAGGAAAACTCTCAACTCAGATTCCTACAAAGCTGAATTATCCGTCAATCGTGTCAGCCTGGCAAATGGGATTGACTTATCCAAGCAAAACAAAAGTTTTTCCTCTTGCTGCTCCAGATGAGTTTCCATATCTATTGGAGGTTTCATTTCCTTTTCTTACTTTTTATGTCCATGCGAGTCCACTGCAGACGTGCTTTTGAAGCCTCTGTTTAGAGTGTTTTTGTTGGGCGTCCTCATGAGAAACCTCTGGGGATTTAGTGTGACAAAAGATTCTACTTCTGGAATGGTGTTGTGATATTGGCTTCAGTGTCATGGAGTTGAGTAGTCCTGGATGCACGATGGGCAAAATTTGTAGGATACAAATGAACGACATTAGCATGTTGCAATTTATTTATTTTTTGCGGCATGTAAATCTATGTGTCATATACGCGCTGAGAAATCTGCTGTACTCTACATCTAAATTCCTCTGTAACAGTACGGAGAAAAAGGGGTGATTTTGATTATTTTTGAAAAGCTTTTGACGGCGTTATTTCTCTCTGAACTGTGAACATCTCTTGAGCTTGGAAACAATTCGTATCGTTTTTGTTTTGAAGCGTTGCGAGCGACTCCAACTCAAAGAGGTCACCTTTTTTGTTTCATGGATAGTATCCTCTCTTAGGTTGGGGTTGTTTGTGTGAAAGCATTAAAATCTCAATCTCAAAGAGGAATGTTTCTTGGCGCATTAGCAATTTTGGGGGGTCTGCATTAAATTTTATTTGCGTTGATGAACACTCGTATGGTAATGGAAAAATGCTACTGGTGCTGTAAATAAATGCATTTCTGCTGAATCAGACTTTGTCATAAAATCATCTGCAATGTACTTGTGGCCATCCCCGTAGCTGTTTCACATGATCTTGTATCTCGTGAAGCCCTCTCTTTCGCCTAGATTTGATCACTCATCAAGTCAGTAACTAACTACTCTCTTTCGTCTTCTCCGACCGAGCTCCCCTCCTAGCAAGTGACGGCAATAGTCGAAATATGAAGGCAACAAACTGAATTTCGAACAAGGGCTGAAACTTGATAATTTCCAACTGCGAACGCCCGTGAGCCAGAAACACGAGCAAACACAAGATGTGAACTCGACGAGCAAGAGAGATCAAGAAAAGTGCAGGCACCAGCAAAGGCCAATATAAACAAGGATCCAGCCTTAATGGCAGTGATATTCTACTCTGTATGGAGCAGTGAGAAACCTCAGAAGGGCGGAGAATCAATATTTTAGATTACAATATCAGAAATTGATAAATGAAATTACCATATTGTAATGTGCCAATAAGTTAACGAAAATAACTTTACACCTCCACAAACAATAACAAGAGAATACAATCTACAAATCTAACTCTATACACCTACAAAATCTGCACAGGCCCCAAGAACTTTAGCTGAGAAGATTTCATGGCTTCCGCAATGCAGATGCTGCACCCAACACAACAGCCAACACAACGCCCAGACCAGCGCCAAGTGAAGCACCGACAGCTGCAGAAGTGAGAGAGTTTGCCTTAGCACGAGCATCTTGGTTTGACTGTGCTACCAATGCACGTGCACGTGCCAATTCCACAAAAAGCCTGTCTCGTGCCAGTTCCTTGCAAATTGCAAGAAGGGGAAAGTCATTTAGAATGTTTTATATTTCACTGATAATACAAAGAAACAATTATAAACACCTGGAGCGGACAAATGCAGATCCACACCTCCATTTATGCTTCTATAAACAAAAGAGATGGAAAGAAGGGAGTGATGATCTAAAGATTGTGTACCTCAAAAGCAGCTTCCTCATGGTTCCGGAGCACATGGTGAATGAGCTGACAAAAAGCAGCTACACCCTCTACAGGCAGAACGGCAGCTTTCTTCTGGAAAGGTCTCCATGAAAGATTAATAGGAGCAAAAGAAAGCTTTCGAGACAGCGCCGCTTTGTCAGAATCTGTGGCACCAGATTCCCAAGAGTGAGAAGCACCTGCAGCACTGGGCATAATATATGGACATGTATTAATAATTGAAGATGACACAGGAGATGCCTGGTACGCTTTCACAACAGCACCTATAGCCGCCTTTTGCTGGTGTGCACTCACAGAAAATTTGTTTGTTATGGCTAGGAGCCAAGGTATTCCAAGAGATTTAGCCTCATCCAAAAGAAGTGAAAGGGCAGGTTGTTGCTGCGATGAATCTGGATGGCTATATCTTGGTATCCTGTGAGACAGGTTATGTACAAGAACAATGAGATCTGTTTTCTTACTCAGATCACGAATTCCCTTCCAAAGCTCGTTCCTGAACCCAGATGCCTCCTCATTTAAATTCTGCAACATAGATCAGAGAGTAAAACCTAAAATTCTAGAGTACAAAATGAAATTTTATTGCAAGCTAGCAATGCGACGAGAGATATAGGGAAAAAAAAAAAAGAACAAACACAAGCACAAACATAGGCACATAATACTCCAGACTGAAGTAAACACAGAAAATCATCTCTTTGTACAGAAAACCTGCAAATTTACTGCTGCTGAATCTGAGTACCACAATCCACCAGCAATACCTTCTTGAACATCAACCTCTATATGTAAATTTTCAGGACTACTATTGTTAGTAGTTCTGCCTTGCTCCAAAATTGCATTTAGGAGCGAAGTTTTACCAGCACCCTACAGAACATACAAAAATATCACCTCAACAAACATTAAGGCGTTTGACAAAATCAGATATATTAGAATCTCAACTATAATAATGAAGCAATACCTCAAGGCCAATTAGACGTACTCTACGGGTTCTAACATGAACCTCTTTGGACACAGTAGAAAAATCAGTTGTGCAGAATATCATAAAATCATTTAAACCATCAGGGCGAATGAATTTCCCCTCATCAAGTGCAGAAACATTCAGATTCAACTTGAGATCATCAAAAGTAGAATCAAGGGAAGGAAAAATGGGCACTAATGACCCCTCCACCATCTGATGCTTTGGTGGATGTCTCAATGGAGGACCAACTAATACTCTCATCTTCTGTATCTCTGGCTGTAATCCATGACTCTGAGCATAAGCTGGTGGTGAAGGAAAAGATTCCACTCTGGTTGAGCACCTAAATTAAAGTACTAAAGTTTAAGAGATTTCTTATCAATGAATATGGAGATGGCAGAAAACAACAAGTTCAGATGATATGCATTTATGTTAATAACATATTGAATAGGTCTCATTCATGAAAATAGCAGGAAGATAATGATCTTAAAAGAGCTAAAATGATATCTTCACTACAATATATACAAAACCTATCAGATCAAAATGACAGCAAAACCCCAAACAGACATAAGGCTTCAACATATTTACATCACAATATCCCAAGTTTCATCTTTCATGACTGTAAGTCATTCATCACCTTGTCTATAGACTATTGTGCTCAAAGTCCTACCATCATACACACACATCAGATAATCTCTTTACACAGAAAAACAGCAAGAAAGGCAGGAAATGGCTAGATAAGCAGAGAAATAAATTGACCTGCAGCATTACCACTACTGCAAATAGTGATAGAAGGAGTAAATAGTACACCAAGTCTTAGGACCAGATGTATATTAAGGATAGAATCCCATAATGCCTCCAAACAATAGACTCACACAAGAGTCAAAAGGAAAAATGCAAAGATAAAATGGCCTATGAATGGAACAGAGGAAAATACCACTTGCCATCAACTCGAGCTTTAACCAACGTGCATAAATGTAATCCATAACCAGAAATATCTACTTTCAAAGCATCTGCATTCTTATCACATGGAATACCATTCCATCCCAGGGGAGCTATTGAAGTTGCTGCATGAATAACTGGGGTCTCAACAATATGCCCAAGCTGAACTGTACCAGCAGCAGAAATACCTAACCATTTCTGCAGATGGGAAAATTGTTGGACTTGCTCCATCCCCAAGAAAGATGTCTCATTGTCATTCAGGCAGAGTTCATATATTCTGCAAGTGGAGAAAAAGAAGATCAGGATAACAAAACCCAAAGTAGAAAGTTTTACATGATGAGTAACAGCAAATCTATAACAGTAGAAAGTTTCACATCATGAAAAGTCACTAGAAACTTTGACCAGTGACATGGAAAATCATTATATAAAAAGGTCAGAAACAGTCTCCAACAGAGCTAGACAATTATTTTCTTCAAAATGTGCAGGTAATAGTGAACATGAACTCTCAAAAAATGATGAAATTGCTAAGAGGAAACCATACATGACTAATACACGAAGTATTCCCATACAATTTAAGTTCAAAACAAGATTACAGGATGTTGTAAACATGTAATACATCAACTTCATAATTCAACTTTAGTACAGCTCCAATTAAATAATATTTGGCAAATTGGTATTCAAACACATTAGCAAGTCTCCCAAAATAGAGGTCCAAAACAAAATCTAGACAAGCAGAAAAAATATTGACCTTCATGTATCACATTCCAGAGCTGAAGACTTTTCAAGCATAATATACTATATAGAGGGCATTGTAATTAAACTTTAACAAGGCAACAAGATTGATGAAATATTTAAATCCAAACATACAAGTAGCAGCAAGAGATCGGTAAGCTTTCACCACTTAAAGGACCAAACACATACAAAACGAATACAATATAGCTATTACCTCAGAAATCTGGCTCTGTATGACCTCATTGAATGTGATTGAAATCTTTCCCTCACTTCAGCAATCACAGATCTGACCTGAAAATGTCTTGGCCATAAGAAAGCAAAAATAAGAGCTACTAAAACCAGTAAAAGAAAAATCATTCTCAGAAATCGTGAACTGTCTTCCAAAGGCAAATTCCGCAATAAGGATAGGTACCAGAGTTTCAAAAACTAAAGGTGAAATGAATAAGGAAGTGAAGGCCATACTGATGTCAGCTTAGAGTATTCTGCGCTAGATAGTGATTCCACTGATGAATTCCCCAATAGATAGAGCTGTCACAGTTACATTATCAGGTAAGTATGTCAAGCAATGCACTATAAGCATCTGATAAGTGTAAAGATTTAGAGATCCAACATATTCTTTTCATTCAGCACTCAACTTAAGAGCAGGCTGGCACTACACAGGCATCATGAGACCGAAACTAGAGTTGAAGTTAAAAAAGTAATATCAATAAAATACGACTCACACTGCACAAACTCGCGTTTGAATTTATTCCTAAAAAGAGTACCTTAGACACAAAATTAAATTCAAGCATTCATCAAGATTCAACAAAGATTGTACAATTAACATCCGACATAAAGTCTACATACAAGGTCAACGGGTCACATGAAAAAACTGGCAGAAGTTTATTATGATTTCCACCAGTTCATCCTATCAATTTTGTAAATCTTAGTCATGAATCTCACTGTTGAGAAAGTCTTAAACATTGTTGTGACTCACTCTTCTTTTAAAAATGTCAAGAACAAATAATTCTTTCAGATCAATGAATATCTAAAACTTAAAACTGAGTTTCGACTTAACATTAGGTGTAAAAAGAAAATGAAAACAAAGGGCTGAAGCATTAGAAAGCTTGGAGT